TTTAGCCACCACCATGTCTAACGACCTTCAAGAGTTAAAACTATGTTATAACATATTAGTTCAAAATCAACACTATGATTTTCCTTGCCCATAAGGCAAACCAGTACATAAAAAGTTTTGCTACTGTCTCCACAACAACTAATGGGAATCACTCAATGGCCTCAGCTGGCTCCTGCTCGCCCACTCCTGTTAGCCCTTTATCTATAATCTCCATCAGGGTGTTTTCCCCTGGCATATTTGCAGACGCTTGTCACAATAAAAAAAACAAGCCATACAATGAATGCGGTTTCTGGTGATTGGTATTAGAGGAACACTCACGTTTCGGGGTCAGACTGTCTGTAACTCCTCACAGCTCATCCGCCCTAACGATAAAGGATGCTGCTGGCCTCACAGTCATCCGCTCCACTCTCATACCTTTCTCACATAAACACCTCCATCTTGAGATGCCAGTGACTTTACGTGATCCACTCTGGCTTGGGTTGCCCCCTGTCTGGCCAATAGAAGGTCTTACCCGTCATTGAGTAGCCACTCGTGCCCACTGGTGACCGCTCTTTCCCATCACAGGCTGTTTGCTTCAACAGAACTCAGCTGTTTTCTAGAGCTTAGGAAAGGCACGTTCAAGAGTCACCAGAGCCATTCCGATTGCCTAATAGTGTTCACATAGGGAGACAGGTCAAAAACAACAGTATTTAATCACTTAAATCCATTAACTATCTTAAAAGCAGCAACCTAGCTACTTGGATTATACTCAGTGAATTTAGATCACAACTGTACATTCAGTGTACATTTCCGTCGGCCCCTCCCCCGTTTCATGGTGGGGACTAAGATCAGACAAAGAAGTTACTGGTCCTAAATTAACCTAATCAAAATGTCATCTCTATCTGTATTATTATTTTAAATACTTCTTTAAAGTCATTCAGTTTTATTTTTAAAACATCTCTGTGTCTATGATCTTCAACTGAAACACTGTGCTTTACTTATTATCACAGATACCAGCTTTTAGCTGACTCATTGAATGAGAGAGACTCTGAGACTCTATTGGATGGTACACTGCTCTCTCATATACTTCTAACATCAAACATTTATCTATTATCTTTTAACTCTATCCCAGCTTAAGGCATCTTTGCCAGAAATTACATACGGTTTCAAATAAACATATTATTTATATTTATCTTTTGCCCACCTCAGGGAATTTAGACATTACAAATTTCCACTCAGATTGAGTCTCTGTCGCACTGGCAGTTTCAGGCACAGCACACATCAGATTTTAGATAAGCGAACTGTTTCATTACAGCCCATAACAAACTTATCTTTTGAAAGCAAAACATCAGCTTCTAGTTCTTTCATGGTCAACTTTTCAAGCTGTTTGTTTAATCAGATGCCTTTCAACATTTTACATTTAGCAACTGTTAATTCAGTAGCCTACTGCTTCTGCTTATTTGTTCTTACATAATGGTAATTATTCTAGTTCTCAATAACGTTTCACATTTCTTAATCTCAATTACCATAGTTTAATCTCTGACTTCAAAGTTTTTTGTTTTTTTCCTAGGAGTTTATCAATCTCCATTTAGGTTTCACACTAACTTTGACAGGGCTACTCTGCATCTTTTGCAGTTATTATAAATCATCTTTGAGATCTGTCTCTCCACATTACCTGAACCCTTTTTAAAATGTTTAATTAAAACACAATCATCCTTCTAGTTACCTTTGATATATTTTGCAACTCACATCTGTTGGAGTCATTAATTTTACATCCTGTATTCATCAATTCACTTATAAAAATTACTATTATAGATCTTTTCTTCAAAAGGATTCACTTTAAGACTTCAATCTTTTGACCTTGTTTTTTATCTCTTATTTTTCAGACGAAAAATGTTACTGTCGTCATTTAAACTGATCTACTTTCAAACCCACATTATTACCAGAAATGTGTCACTATCACATTTTTTAAACACCTTTTTTGGTGTGCATTTACAGTTACGTGTTAAATGGTCCTGCTGACCACAATCAAGACACTCTCTGTCATCTGGTGGATTCATGTGTCAGCCTTGGATTCATGTGTCAGCCTCAATAACAGCATCAGACACCTTGACTATAGTTTGATCACTGTGAGCTTGCAAACGGCTCCAACTTACTGCACGCCCTTGAAGCATTGTGTGTCCCATTCAGGAATGTAAACAGACCCACTGATAAGCAGTTCTCTGTATTCTCTTTACAGTCCACCAATGGCGGATTTAATCACAATAGCCAAATCATACTCTTCATCATTATTATTGGCAGAACATAATTTCATGAACAGCACAGAAAATGCTCAAAATATTCGAATTTGTTTTCTGTCTTTACCTTACCAATTTGGTATTATCATCAACAACACTAATTACAAGTACTGTTGCTGTTATCCCAGCTTATCTTTTACAAAACATCATCTGCAAATCTCCTCAAAGTGAGATCTTCAGAGCAGAGCTGTTTACAGCATTTGCTCTCTTCTGTCTCACTATTTATTTATTTATTTTTTCCCAGGACTGTTCAGTTACTCTTCATAAAGTGTAACAATTTGTACATCATTATTTTCATTACAACTGGTTTGAAGCCTTTTTTCCTTCCATCACATTATTGTCTCAGTCTTATCTCTACTGTTTCTCCAAAACAGATTATATTACTCAGTCCGTAAATTACCCAGACAACCATTATAGCTACTTGCTTCAATACCCTTATTTTCTTAACATTAATAAAATAAAGCAGATATATCATCATTTCAATCATTATTTTATCAAAATCTAGAATTGTTCCCCGTTCTGCTTAAAACATTCTTCCTATCATGTTAATCCCTGTCAATCATACAATGCCTTATTTTATTCTAAAACTTTTCATATCATTTAAACAGTTAATTTGACTTCCATAAATTCTGTCAGACATTTTATTTTCATCACATATAGTTTTCTACTATATTTCTTCTCAATCTTTCCCTACATGCCAGTTCCTTCTGTATCCTCTCCTTTCTTTTTCCTACATGCCAGTTCCTTCATTATCTAACCAGTACATGATTGTTTGCACAATCCCCACACACACGTCTCTCAACCTTTTGTTTTTTTCACTTCCCTCTTCCATCAAGTCTCTCTTACAGTTCCCTCTATTTCACACAGACAGCCTTATTGCTTCTTGCTACTTAAATCCTTGTCATATAAATTTAAGTTCTATAGACATCCCATGTCATGCATCCATTATCTGTTCACATTTTTTACACACATGTTGAACGCAGCCACAACAACCTTTTGTCCCGCTGCCCTGTTCCACTGATTCTCGCACACTCTTAGTCTATTTGTGCTCAGTGTTCCCTCCCTTGGGAAATCACGGTATTTTCTCAGTTTTTTCAATATCTAAAACATACATTTTCCCCCATACTTTCCTAGTTCTACAGAAAACCGGTGTATCAAATTTCGCAAGCTTGCTTTTGAGACATCCCCATACTGGCTGTTTTCTGTTCTCTGTGGATTTCTCTTCAACGCGCGTTTTCTTTAATCTGTTAGGCGTCCCTAAACAAATCCGATTCTTTTCTTTTAACCCAAATCGGTCGGGTTGCACTATTAGTGCCCTCCTAATTAAGGTTTACCAAAAAATTCTGGTTCCCCCTAATTAGCCTCAGTACCTAAAAACAATTTGCTCCGTCGTGGAACAACTAATTTTCAGGGTACCTATCTGTTTGAAATCTCTTGATCTGTTACAGTTCTCACTTAATCCCAGATTATTTATCTGCTTGAAATTTCTTGATCTGTTACAGACCTCAATTAATCTCAGATTACGTACCACAGAAACAGTCTTCAGCCAATATGGTTCAATTTCACTCTTCTCCCCAATTAAACTGAATTTAATTAACTTACCCAAAGAAACTAAATTGAACTGTCTCTTACCAGAGATGCTTCTGTTGCCACCTGCGGGTTCTTTAGATTCCAGTGGTCGATTCTCCCGGCCCTGATATCGGTCGGCCCCTCTCTCTCAAGTTTACGAGGTAGAGCTGGAACTTACTTAGTCCAGGTGGCCAAACACCGTCCGATCTCAGGTCCAGGAGGCACGTCCAAGGAATATCACTTCTGACACCAAAACTGTTGTGGCAAAAATTCATCTCAAGCAAACATCACTGCGTAAGAGACACTCAGAGTCAAATTATATAAAATAGAAGTATTTATTCTTGCAAGAATAGGAGCAGTCTAATACACAGTTGTAACCCTGTGCAGAAGAGTGACACCCCCCCAGACAGACTGAACTAGCTTTTATCTTAGTTTCAAGGCCTTCTTCCCCCCAGAGCCTTCCTCCCAGTAGTTTTCCATAGACTAGTTGGCCCAATAAGCCCCCCTGCTTAAGTGGCCTTCTGACATCTAGGTCAGAGGTCCTTGTTCGTCTGTTCTCTGGAGTGTCTCCCTCTTCTGCCTCCCCAGGTACATAAACAGAATCTTCTCTCACTACAAGTGAGAGACACACATGTGACATTCTTTGAATCGTCTATATTTTACTAAAGATCAATGAATATCATTAAAATTTCCACTACAAACCCTATTTCATATTCATGACATATGTCATGTCATGGTTATGAAGGTGTCATGTCAGTCTTATGCACACCCCTTCAAGTAAAGTGTTAACGAAAAGTTTCTACATAGAACCTTAAAGGGTTCTGTGAGGCACTTCATATAGAAGCTTTTAGGGGTTCCCATCATGGGATCATTTATGGATTTAGTTTGAATTCATTCATTTTATTTTAATTCATAAATGTTATGAATTAAACAGCTCATAAACATACTTTATCATCAGAAAAAAAAAATCTAAATAATCCATTTAACATGAAAGTGTCATGCAATCATTTAAGATATTTTAACATAAAGCATTCTTTCAAATTGAGTCAAGAACCCTGTGGTTCAATATAGAACCCCACTAAACCTTTGCTTCTGAGAGTGTGGACTTTAGGTCTGAGCTGCTAGGTGACCCCTACACCTTCTCTGTGCCTGCAGGTGTTCCAGCGCGAGCTCGGGAAGCGTGCCAGCTGTATCCGGACACTGAAGCGTTCGGTCAGGGATCTGACACGGAGCAGCATGGCTGATGCCCACTGGTTGCAGGAGCAGATGGAGGAGCTGGAGGGCCGCTGGGAGGACGTGTGCGAACTCTCGGTGTCCAGACAGGCTAGACTAGAGGCGGCCCTTCAGCAGGTACAGTCACGCTCCACTGTGCCGTATGATAGTCATGGAACCTTCAGTCACAGAAGTTATATTTAATTTTACATTTATGCATTTGGATGACGCAGACTTAGATTGCATTTCAAGGTACACGTTTTACATTCTTACCAGTTCTTGCTTTCCCTGGAAATCGAACCCATGACCTTGGCGTTGCAAGCGCCAACGCTCTACTGTTTGAGCTACAGGAATAAATATTTACATATTTTACAATGCATATTTACAATATGCATTTGGCTGATACTTTTATTCAGAGCACTAACATAACATTCAAGGTACTGTAGTTTGTCATCATTAACTAAAACTAAAAATACAACAACAACAAAAAACCTGAAATAAAATAAACGCTGACAGAAATAAAATAGATCAAACTTCAACTTAAACGAAAAGAAAATTTGAAATTTTGCCTTCACAACTAACTGAAACAAAATAAGTTAAGTTGAATTTCTAGAAATAATATAAAAATGGTTACACTTTACGTCAATGGTCCACTTTAGACATTCTACTAACAATAAGAAACTTTTAAACTATATCAACTAACTCTCATTAGAGCATTAGTTGACTGTTAGGATAGGGTTTGGGTTAGTAGTATAACTTGACGTTGTAGTAAATTTACTTATAGTCAGTTGAATGTCTGTTGGGAAGCATTAAAAAACAGTGTTAGCAGATATTAATAGACAGTCTACTAATACTCTAATGAGAGTTAGTTGACATGGAGTTGCAAAGTAACTTATAATTATTATGTCTAAAGTGGACCATCGAAATAAAGTTACCATAAAAATTAATAAAAACTAAACAGGCATTTTTAAAAGAAACTAATAAAATTGACGAAAACATGCAAAAAATTACTAAAACTTTATAATATTAATAAAATAGAAGTCTTTTTTCCCTTGAATGCGATGAATGTTTCCAAACTGTTGTTATTTGTTAGTTACATTATCATTTACAGTTTTTTTTTTTATATCTCTTAATGTCTTTAATGTCTCTTATGCTCACCAAGATTTATTTGATCAAAAATAGAGTACTGTGACATTTTATTTTTCAGGATTCTTTGATGAATGGAAAGCTCAAAAGAACAGCATTTATTTGAAATAGAAATCTTTTGTAACATTAGGCTTAGCTATAATTGTCTACTGTCACTTTTGATCAGTTTAATGCATCCTTGCTGAAAAAAGCAATGTCTTTAAACTTTTGAACAGTAGTGTACAATCAGGCATATTGATAATCCCAACATTTTGCACACTTTGTACCTTTGTCGTTCTTAGGCGGAAGAGTTTGATGTGATGGTTCATTCGTTCCTGGATCATCTTTCAGATGTTGAGAGGGTCCTGAAGTACGGAGTGCTGCCTGAGGAAGAGGAGGCTCTTCTGGCATTTCGTACATGTCATCAGGTATGGTGGAAAATGGACCCACTTATTACTCCAGAAATGTATACAGGGCGTCTATAGCCCGCCTTGTTGGCAGAGGCTTTTTAAAGGGGTCATATAATGGCATTTTTGTACAAGCTAGTATGATTCTTTAGGGTCTAAATTAAAAGTTTGTAATATACTTTAATTAAAAATTCTCATTAGTATTGTAAGAAAACACTTATTTTACCTGGTCAAAAACACCTCTGTTTTCAGCACGCCGTTTCAGTGCATATGACTTTAAATGATAATGAGCTTTGCTGACTCCGCCTCTCTGTTCTGTGCGTACACCGTTTGTAACACAATAACACAATAACCATAACGCGTTGTTCAGTATAAACGTGGGATTAGGAATTATATTGAGAACGTCATACATAGAAAACATGCCGTAATGTACCCTGAGTGTAAACCTTAGACGCATTCATTGTGAAGCGTCCAGCTAGCGATTTGCAAAGATTAATATATTAATATAAAGTTTAATAAAACGTTACACTCACTTCCGTTCTTCTGGAGATTCAGCAGGAACACGAATATCTGGTACCGATCCTTTTTTCATGAGCAGCTTCTTAGCAAAACCAGCTTTATACTGATCCTCGTTTATAAAGCAGTCTGGTGAGAAATGATTCGCGCAAACATGAGAGCATTGACGTTGCTCGTGGGGAATATTCCCTTCGAAAACAAACTCAGCCACTGCGTCTTCAGCGGTTCGGATTTAGGAACATTAAAATGACTGCTGTGTTCGTTATTACACCCAAGAACAGAACACCACAATCGCTTAGACGCCATTCTGCTCATAGACAGTGCTCCAGCATATCAACAATGACCGCGCCGGTCCGCGCCGCGCAGACTATGATTGACAGCTCCCTCACGAGCGAGGGCGGGTCTGTGTTGAAACGCTGCTGTCAATCAACAATCGTGGGAGGGGCGTGCGAGCTTGTGACGTCACAGGCTCGAAACGGCTCGATTTGAGGCAGGGGAAAACATATAAGGAGATTAAAACAAACCACTGGATGGATTTTTATTATTATATGATGGTTGTGTACAGACACTGCCAACACACATTTCAGTACAATCAACTTGTAAAGGTGCATGTACCATTATATGACCCCTTTAAACTAACCGTGCCACTGGCACCAATGGTTAAGCCAGACGAAATTACAAAGAATTACAAGAAACAAAAGAAATCCTGCTGAGAACAGGAGCAGTGGCATGGAGAGTAAGATGGGTGGTGTTGGCTTTTGATGCGACCAACCCGGGTTCGAATCCGCCTTTTTCCGAACTCATTCTTCACGCTTTTCATTTCACATCAGCTTAGACAGGCGTTTATATTCAATACAAATTTAGAAAATATTTGAAAAGTGGAAATAAAGTGCCTAACGGGTATTTAATAGTGCGAATAAAGTGTTTGTTGGGTAAGGATGACCTAATAAGGCAGCATGCATTTATGATTTTAATAAATATAACCATATACACTGAATATGTTTTTATAATATACTACTAAGGTGCAAATAGTATCTGCCACTCTTTGCACTAAGTATAAATAGCATCTAACACTTAGTGCAAATAGCTGGTGCCAATGTTATCATATGAGTTGCATGATTGTGTCTGTGATCTGCAGGAGTCAATGAGTTCCCTGAACGATCAGCAGATGGAGCTAGAGAACATTCGCAAACTGGGTGAAGAGATTCTGTCCTCCTGTCACCCTGACTCTGTCATCACCATCAAGTCATGGATCAGTATCACAAAGACTCGCTATGAGGAGGTGAGTCAAGTTAGAGGATGAGCAGGCCTACTAGATATATAACAGTTGCAATCTGTTGACTATTAGAGTGCAACAAAAAATCTAATTCAATGGACTTTTACCAATAACATACAGTGTAAACTTTCAAGGCAGACCTACCATGAGCTCTGAGGTTGCTGCTAAGTGATGAAATATGGTTCTGTAAAAGTGATTTCAAATTAGGTTTTGAAAAATCACATAATTGCTGAACTCCCGCTAAAGAATTACACTAATTATAACCCTGAAGCGAGCTCCACCAATAAGATTCTTTGTCACCGTTTAAGTGGAATGATATGTTGTAAATTGTATAATCAAGTTTCCTACTTACCGGTGGTACTATAAAACTATAGACAGTGAGATTATAATAAATATTTTGGACTTTATTCTTGAGAGTGCAATTGAGGTTGTTTAATGTGCATGAAGAACTTTTGGTGGTCACTGTCGTGTTGTTTATTTTTGACTATTCTCAGTGTAGAAGAATAAGTGTGTTACATGTACATGTGTGATTTCGTGCATCAGGTCCAGATGTGGGCGAAGCAGCAGGCCGAGAGGATCCAGACCACACTGTCTGCTCTAGAGGCAGAGAGAGAGGAGGTACAGCGGTTACTGGACTGGATCTCTTCCACTGAAGAGTCTCTCAGTCTAAAGGAACAGGAGCCATTGCCTGAAGACTTAGAGATCACCGCAGAGCTCATCACCCAGCATGCGGTACTAAAACCCAATAATAAACTATTCATATTAAACACCCAAAAATGACAATGCTGTCCACATTAACTCACGCTCAAGTCAGTACAAACATGTATGACTTATTTCTTCAGTTGAGAAAGACCTTTCTTTTATGTTCCACTGAAGAAATAAGGTCATACAGTTTGGAAGAACATGAGGGTGAGTAAATGATGACAGCATTTTCTTTTTTGGGTGAACTAAACCTTTTAGAAAAGCAGATACATATTGTAAATGCCGTAGTGGCCAAAAGTGATGCTCAGAGGGAATATATATATTTTTATTATTATGTTACTACAAGTCTGACGGAACCATCAAAATGTGTGGAAAATATTTTAAAATATATTTGAATTTTTAAAAATTTAAATATGAGCGAAGAAGAAAACACTGAACTTGGTTCATTTTAAATGTAATTATTTTTTTTATTTAATTGAAATTTTTTTTGTGGCAAAAAACACTGCATAGAAAACCAAAAAGCTCACAAAAAATTGACTACAATGTAAAAGTTTGTGGCTGTATTAATGCACCCGAAGACAAAATAGCAAAACAAACAGACTTTAATAAAGATTCTTAGAACACTGAGGGAATTAAAACCATGTAATCCAAATCTGACACCGACCCATGAACTGACAAAACTCGAGGGCTGTGTTCAAAATCACCCCCTATACTCTCATTCACTATTCTCTACATTACTCTACTTGAAGGGGTAAATGAAAACAAGTGAGGAACAGCCGATACGCGCACCTGGTCAGACTCGTACATATCAGGCTCCGCAGCGATGTTGGGCTCGCCAACCAGTGGGCTCGCAGCTCGCGGCAGAGAAGGGTTCGACATCTGCGGTGGGCTTAAACTGCTTTCTTCCGACCGATGTGTTCTGGCTTGGCACTGGGTTTGGAGTGGGGCTGGTGACGTCACTGGACTGCGGTCAGGGGCTGGAGCACACGTGTGTGCAGCCCACACACACAAAATGGCCATGGCCATAATGGTCAGCGCTGTATTCTCAGGAGCAGACTCTGGGGCTGGAACGGGCTCTGGACTGGTGAATTTCTTTCACCGGAACAGACTCAGGAATTTCTCTCACCGGAACAGACTCAGGAATTTCTCTCACCGGAACAGACTCCGGAATCTCTCTCACTGGAATAGACTTGGGAGTTTTCCTCACTGGAAAGATGGCTGTGGCTGGCATGCTGGTTTTCTCGTCGCTCTCCACGATGGTAATCGGGGATCCATTGTGGACAAACACCAACTCCACATAGTCCTGGAAGCTCCCGCGAGGCCCGTCTTCGGAAAACTGCCCGGAAAAACACAGAGAGGCTGGTGTCATCATAATGGACTAAAGGAACCAGATCCAAATACCTCTGTGTGTGGACCTCCAGAGACAGATCCCTGAAGGGATCCCCAGAAGTTAAATAAAACTAAAACAATAAAAAAACACATTTGTTGTTACCTGAATTAAAATAATATAATAAAAGAATAATAAAAAAACTAATGTCGTTTATTATATATATATATATATATATATATATATATATAGTACTAAAATAACTAAAACAGAAATAAAGCTTAATAAAAACTATATAGACAAAAATAATAATAATAAAAATGACCAAAAAAAACACAACAAGAATACTAAAAATGTAAGGAACTTTTTTAATAAAAAGGGGGAAAATAAAAACTAATTCAAACTATTAATAAAAACTACAATAGTATCTCAATGATACTAAAATAAAACTGATGTACATAGAGCAACAATTAAAAAAATTCTAAAAATCTAAAAAGTTCAAATCAAAACAAGATCATGATGACATCACAGCATTTAATCATCATTTAAATAAGGTTTACATTCAGAAAATGATGCTTTTGCAGGATTTTATGGATGAGATGAAAGGGAAGGTACCAGAAGTTGAAAATGCCACAAAATCCTGTAAACACAAGCTGGTTCCCAAGCAGCAGGCTTCCCCCAGTCGCAAGGCACCAACAAGTGAGTAGAGAATCAGTGTGATTCATTACTGTGATTATTGTGTGTATGCATTCAGCTGTAATCTCTGTGGATTGCATTGCATGAATAGAGAGAAGAGGCATGGCAAAGCCTACGCTATCAGTGCCTCTACCGCTGGATAAACTGGACCCTCAAACCCCCATGATGTGTCAGCTGGTGAGTCATTGGCAGAAGCTCTGGCTCTTGGCACACGGCAGGCAGAGTAGACTAGAGGAACATCTTCAGAGGCTAAAAGAGGTAATCATGAGTCATGACTGTGCTGTAGCTTTGATAAAATAATATGTTTTTGTTTGAATCTATACGGTTGGTCTAAGAACCTTCTCTTTGGCACATGCAGTTGGAGGAGTTTGCTAATTTTGACTTCAACATCTGGCGGAAAAGATACATGCAGTGGATAAGTCACCTCAAATCCCGGATTTTGGATGTTTTTCGTAGCATTGATCGAGATCAGGATGGCCGAATAACTCACAAGGAGTTAATCGACAATGTTCTGGCCTCTAGTAAGCGCAGTTTTAACACTCTTGGTTGCTACATTTTTGCTTTGAGGTGTTTTATATGCATGTAACTTCACAATATTTGCCTTTGCATATGGACAGAATTTCCCACCAACTCCCTGGAAATGACGGCTGTTGCTAACATATTTGATGTAAACGGTGATGGATTCATTGACTACTATGAATTTGTGAGTGCCCTCCACCCAAGCCGAGACCCTTACAGAAAAGCAATAGATGTAGACCAAATCAATGAGGAGGTATGTGTAGTTCTGTTTCATCTTTCATATACACACTGCAAAATGTTATTATCTTACTTAGAATATTTGTTTTTGATATCTAAAATTTCTTAAATCAAGATACATTTACTTGATAAGGAAATTGACTTAGGATATAAGTCTTGTTTTCTAAAAAAATATATATTTATATATATATCAAAATTAAGTGAGTTTATGCTTAAAAAAAGAAAAACAAATCTGTCAGTAGGGTTCGTTTTTTTCCAATTGAATTAAAGGTTTAGTTCACCCAAAAAGGTTAAAAAAAAATGTATCACTCACCCTCATGTCATTCCAACCCAATAAGACTTTTGTTCATCTTCGAAACACAAATGAAGATCTTTTAAATTAATTAGATTAGTTTTACTATCTATTAATGAACTTTATGAAGCGTCACAGTGGTAGTTGCTTTGACTGACTATGGAGGGTGTTTCGAATATGAACAAAATTCTTACAGGTTTGGAACGACATAAGAGTCATTTTTGGGTGAACTATCCCTTTAAGTTTATTTTTCTCACAACACTGACAGACATTTTTTCTTGTTTTAAGCGTAAACTCAGTTTAAATTTTAATTATCAAACAAGACTTACTATCTCAAGTAAATGTATCTTGATTTAATGTATGAAAATATTTTTTTCCCAGTGCATTCTTATCATTACATTGAGTTTTTCTGTAATATGACTAACAAAAACACAATTTTGCAGGTGAGTCGTCAGGTCTCTCAGTGCAACTGTCCAAAGAGATTTCAAGTCGAGCAAATTAGCGCAAACCGCTATAGGGTGAGTGGAAATATATTCTAGGAACTAATATGGCTGTTTATAACTGGCAATAAAAACACCTAGGGCCCTACCATACAGTTTCAGCCCGATGCAGCTATCATTTTCATGTCCTGCGACAAGTTATTTAAATACCCATGGTCTGCTGGTCTGAAAACGAAGTGTGTGGCGCATTGTTTGTGCGTTTGCTATTGCTATTGAGGCAACTGAAATAGACTGCGCCATTGACCAACTGAAACCTGGTCTAAACTCAATGGCGCAAATATTATTTTTGTTATTTAAAGAGCGCATAATGCCGAGTTCAGACTGCACGATTTTCAAAATAATCGGGTCACTGTTGTTTTCACACTGCATGACTATCTGGGGTAACATTCAGTTGCTGCTGTGTTCACACTGCACGATGGATCGGCGACAGGAGGTTTCACACTGCATGACTTTACAAAAGAAAGAATCGCCGACAACTTCTGCCTGGTCCGCAAACTACGTTTCACAACCAAACAAACGCGAGAAGTGATAGGAAATAACGGAAGATCACGCGTGCGTGAGACCGGAGTTCTCGCGCGACACTGAATTTGTTAGCAAAAATGATAGCCTACAAATTGTCTGTGCACTGATTTGTAGCGAAAATGAAAAAAATAAATAAACAGTTTATGCAGGAAATGGTTTGGAAGACGAGGGGAGCAAGGACTGTGTTTTGCAAAGAGAGTTGGGGGTAAATAAATAATTTTGCAAATGTCCTGCTGTTGCTGCTGGTCATGCAAATGTTTGTGCTTTGTTTCTGTTTGATATAATTGTAAATATAGGCCTATCTATTAAAATACTGATATTCTGGTCTATAACTCCTCCTCCTCCTCCTTGTATCTTGCTCTCTCATTGGCTGTCGGTCATCGCTGATGTAGTTTTCAGTCAGAACACATTCACACAGCAGGATTGTGAATCGCCGACAGGTCCAGATATTTAGCATGCCAAATATCTCACGGGCGTCGGCGACTCGTCGGCGATTCTCTCAGATCGCGTCTTTGCTCATTCACACTGCGTGATTGTCACTCGCGTGAACTAGCACCGATTTGCCTGTGATTTCGGGCATTTGTCGGCGATTTCTCAAAGCCTGTCGGCGAGCCAAAATCGGGGCTAAAATCGTGCAGTCTGAACTCGGCATTAGTAATGTGTGCCACGTACACTTTGTCTCGTAGATGGTCTGCTTAACCCCGAGCATGAGCAGATCCGTTTCCTCGCTAGAAAAGCGTTCAGTTTTTCCGCTTGCAAATTCCGCCATGTAAATAGCGAATCCGCCATGGCGCGAGCACAACTGGCTTTTAAAGGGAATGGGAGACTCTGATTGGTTTATTCGGACACGCCCTCAGTGCACTTGCGCCGTGCCCTTTATACCATGCGCTTAGATCGTTAAAATAGGGCCCATAGTCTTGGATGATCTGATCACAAGTAATGAGGTGACGCAGATCGCCAACTACACCTGATGCTAACGTGTCTTCTGTGGCCACTTGAGGGACGGATCTCTGATTTCATACTTACTACATCAAATTTTATAGTCACTGTTTACACTGTATTTAGTGCCCAAAACAGATACCAGGTGTAAATGGTGCAGCACAACTACATATTCACAGCTACATGCTTGACATGTGATTTTCATTCAAATCTGTGATTTGCACTAGTTTGGAGACTCTCAGCAGTTGCGGATGGTTCGTATTCTCCGAAGCAGTCTGATGGTTCGAGTTGGTGGTGGATGGACGGCATTAGATGAGTTTCTGGTGAAGAATGACCCTTGTAGAGGTGAATAACTTGCATTAATTCAAAATCTGCATATCATAGATCAAATCAGTAGAGGACAATGTAGGAAACTCAGAAGTCAAGACCAGGAGATTTGGTTATATCTTCAGCAGGATTCTTTATTGAAAACGAGCTGTTGGTATTTCTGCAGTCATCAAGTGTAACTAAGGCTGTGTACATTGTTTGCTTAAACTAATCATTCATCACGTCATCATCTTTACATTAAATGCTAAATTCCCCTTAGTTTTTCATGTGATGTTATGGAAGGATGTAAGATCCTTAACAGATTCTTACATTTGTAATTCCACAACAACCAATATATGGCCAAGACAATAATCTTAACAGCATTGGCTGATCTCATCTCCCGTTTGGTTGCTTTGGCTAATTACAAACCTGTCCACCTCTAACTCGTGATTGTTGTGTGATGATCAGCCAATGAGACCCAAGCATCCTGGAAAGTCTTGCTCTTTTCTTAGATTTCAAATGATCTAATAAGTAATTGTCCGCTATTAATATCATATTCATTGTGTACTGTATAATTACACAGACTTTTCCGTCACTACTTTCTTCATAAGTTCGAAGAAAAACAAGAAGTTGCTACTATAAAACAAACTAAAGCACATACAGTACCATTCAAACGTTTGGGGTTGGTAAAAGAAGTCTCTTCTGCTCACCGAGGCTGCATTTAGTTGATCAAAAGTACAGTAAAACAGTAATATTGTGAAATATTACCACTATTTAAAATAACTGTTTTCTAGTTGAATATTATTCCTTTGTTCAAAGCTGTATTTTCAGCATCATTACTCTTCAGGCTTCAGTGTCACATGATCCTTCAGAAATCACTCTAATATGATGATTTGATGCTCAAGAAACATTTCTGATTATTATGAATGTTGAAAACAGTGAAACCATGACACATTTTCATGATTCTTTAATGAATAGAAAGTTCAATAAACGGCATTTATTTGAAATAGATTTCATTTTATTTGTGTAATTATGTAAAAGTCTTTACTGACACTACTGATAAATAGAATGCATTCTTGCAACAGAAGTATTGATTTCTTTCAAAAAACTTATTGACACCAAACTTTTGAATGGTAGTGGATGTATTATGTATTTTAAAGTTAAAGTTAAAGTCCTTGGCACTGCCTATTGAAGAACCCATATCAACCACCACAAATGAGTAATTCATAAACACATAGCCAAATCTCTGAAATAAACCAGCATCACCATCAGCTTCTGAAAGAAAAACTGACACGCATCATTTCTCCGGTTCTTCTCACACAGTAAAGGGACGTACAAACCTGAAGATCAAGGAGAAGTATCTCTCTCCGGACGCGTTCGAGGCATCGGGTCGCAGAGGGAGTGCTAAAGGCCTGACTGTCAGCAGATCCAACTCCAGCCTGAGTTTATACAGCAGCGCTTCAGCTCCCAGCAGCCCACTGACACGCAAGGTACACCAGACCACTGCGAACTGACTGCATTCCTTGCAACAATACTAAAACATTGAAGACCTCCCAATGTCATTGGTAGGGTTAGTTTGTCTGAAGTCACTCTGTTTTTGTCCTGACATAGGCATTGCTACGCAGAAGTTTCTCTGGTGAGAGGTGTATTCGACCCAGGAGCTCTATTGCTGCACTGGGGAGCGACCATTTCTGTGCCGACATTGACTCACCTTCACATTCAGGTTAAAGTCGGGTTTAAACTCAGCTCTGTCGCAGTGTGTATTTGCCATACAGTATGCATTTGTTTTCCAGTATAAATATCTAAATGCAAAATATTAGGGCTTGTTTTGGATTATTCTTTAAGAAATCTGGCAGTTCTACATTAGAAAACACAGTTCCAAACAGTTGAAAAAATACACTAACATTCAATCGTGGTCAGCAGTGTTCGGTAAGTTACCGTACTCTAAAAAAAGTCAATAATTACATCTTCAACAGTTTTATTAGATTACTGTACTAATTACTCTATCTAAAATGTATTGGATTACTTGTTAGTTAGTAATTACTTTATAAACCCCATATAAACCTCGACCAGTTGAACAATACAATGATAGACATGAAACTGCACTTTTAATTCTTTCAAATAAACAATATACAGTTGCATAAATTATTTTTTAACTCACCAAAGGATGTAAATGGAGATGGTTACATTAAATACATACTTTTTAACACTAAATTTTGATGTTAAATCCACTATTTTTTATATATAATAGTTCTTGTCATGGATTTTTCTCTAACCCTGCCTATCTAGCGTCTACAAATTGACACTTAATAAATAAAACCTGTTGCGTCTACCAATCGACACAGAGCGTCTACAAATCATGATTAGTAAAAGACAGTGTACTATCTATTTTATTAAAAATTCCACCACATTCTTTATTCTACACAGTATTTAATGAAATTACATCAGTAGTAACTGTAATTAAATAACAGAAAAATTAAGAGTAATCCCTTACTTTAACACTAAATTGTTAAAGTAACTTTTACTCCGTCAAAGGAAAAGTAATCAAATAACTTAGTAATTAATTACACCCAACACTGGTGGTGTTAATATATTTTAATGTTTTTGAAAGAATTCTCTTCTGCTCATCAATACTGCATTTATTTGTTCGAAAAATTTGTAAAAACAGTAATATTGTGAAATATTATTACAATTTAAAAGTTTTCTGTGAATATATTTTAAACTGTAATTTATTCCTGTGATCAAAGCTGAATTTTCAGCATCATTACTCCAATCTTCAGTGTCACATGATCCTTCAGAAATTACTCTAATATGGAAAACAAGTCAATGCTCATTAAGAATGGACCCTTTTCACATTTCCGAGGTTCTCAGAAGTGCAAGTGAAAGCAAAAGGAAAGATAAACCTGATAGTGTTTTCACAACTTTCCAAAAGAGGGAAGACATATAGAGAGATAGATAACAGCAATCAGAAGAGAGAATGATGTGAAATTAGCTGTCATTCCTCACACATCAGTGTTAATTCGTTTTTGATATTTACTGCCAAGGAAATATAACACAAAGTATAGCGTTAAAAGTGAAAAAACAGACACGTTAACTTTATTACATTTGCGATGTTGACAGTCTGTGAAAAAGGGTCCATTGGATTTCCTTTCAGTGTGAATCCTGTTTTAACATGTTTTTTTCACCTTGTAAACTTCTGCGACCTGCCTATTTATTTGTATCCTCTTCTTAGTACATTATGAATAATTTTGTGATTTGTTTTCTGTAGAAGAGGCAGAAAGACCGCCGACATGACCACATCGTGTCCCATACCATGAGATCAACCACAGACAGACAGGCAGGCGTTCCTTGCTGGTCTGAACCCCAGGATGGACAGAAAAGCACCCCAGCAGGCCTCAGATCAGTGAACACATGAAGACAGTTTGCTCATCACATGAGCTCCTCTGCACTAGTGCTCTGAGGTGTGTTACACCATCGGTTTCCTATCATAACATGCCTTGATTTGTTACCTTCACAGACTTTGTTTTTACAAAATGAACTCCCTGCTTTGAGTGTAATGAGAGACTGCTAGAATGTTTTGCATGGGTTTTGAACAGCACGATGTCCATAGTCTCTGAGAGCAATAGCTTGTGTAGTGCTTTACACAACATACATGCGCTGAGGTCTTTATTTTCTGTATGTAGTTGCTTGCTGTTGGGGCAAATGCTTAATCTTACCCTGCATCCTCAAGAGTAAAACCACTGCCTTTTTATTCGTTTTACATAGATACCCCACAGTTAGTGATGCAAAATATAAACCAAAAACAAACAGATGTCTGTTGTCTTATGGTTTAGGCTTTATGATAAGCACTGCTTTGGGGGTCGATGTTATTGTTCTGTGTAACTGTGGCTAATGCTATTATATCCTCAGGTTTCAAGTGCTATACTTAAGGGTCTAGAGCATGAATTTAAAGACCACATGAAATATACTCATATGCCCCTCTAATATCACCTGACACCATAAGCCACAGCAAGTAAGTAATAGTTCACGGTGGTGAATGAGGCTATTGGATTTTTTATTTTTTAAAAGCGATGAGCCCCATCAATATGTCCCACCTGAAGCTCCTGTTTTTTGCTGCAAGTCCTCCAGGGACGGTCTTCATTAATGCTACTCAAAATGTGTTTAAACTACATTTGTACAGTCAATATTCTTATTATATTTGAAAAAAAAATGCCTTGATTCTTTATTTAAAGGCTGAAGTACTTTTATCCAGATTTTTGAAAATCATAAAATCGCGTTGTGTGTGATGGGCACAGACTCAGATTTTATTCTTAGCTTCAGTCTGATTTGGTCCAGTCGGAGGATATCAAACATGAGCTGGTTTTAGAACACATATTGTTGTCATTTGTCACACGTCTCCTTGCAATGAAACCCATGTTTCTGCATGAGTTTCTGCGCAAAAGTCTGGTAGTGATCCTCAGTGATTTAGTGTATGATACCTAGGCTCTGTTTACACCTGCTATTGAGATGCGTTTTGGTCGATCGGACCACAAGTAGACGAGGGAGACATTCCCGTTTTCACCTGCGTTTTAATCCGTCTCTTTTGTCCACTTTCAACCACTTCTGTCCTGATTTCTCCAGGGGAGGGTCTATGGGTGGGTACTGTAAATCTATGGGTTTTTTTCACATCTTTCGATCTAATGGACAAAGTAAGCTTGTGCAATTTACATATGAACGCGACCGGATACGACGGAAAACACAGAGAGGATCAGATGATTATTTTTCTGTACAGCACTTTGGTCAATTTTGGTTGTTTAAAAGTGCTTATAACGAATAAAGTTGGATTGGATTATTGTGCTTGATATGTTTTTCGTCCTCAAACCAAACTTGGGTCTTCAGCTTACAGTTTAAATCCCGTCTGGCTAGCGTGCTTCCCACAATGGTTACGCGTTAGGTCAGTAAGCGGAGAATAGGCGTCTTTTTTGTGGCTATTCGAACAGAGTATACACTACGAAAGCAATCCGGTCAAATGCGTTTTCGACTACTAGTGGAAATGGTCGAAAGTGGACAAGCTCAAAACGTCATCCACTTGTGATCCGATCGACCAAAGCGCATCTTAATACCAGGTGTTAACCGGCCCTAACCATTTACAAAGTCGGCACATACTGTATATGATGCCAGCCCGTTCTCATCCCAAGGCGTCATACATGTGACGAAATGTCAAAAGCGTCTAAATCCGACGCACATGGCATCCACATGGCACTGTATAATCCTTTAGCGTCAATATGAGACGCAGATCCCAAGGCGTCATAACCGTACCTATACCCCAGACCTAAACCTACCCATAACAGTGCGTGTTATATTGACGCTAAAGGATGCCATGTGCGTAAGATTTCGACGAAATGTCATATGGCGTCACCTATATGACGCCAAAGGATGAGAATGTGTTGATGATGCCTAGTGTTTTGAAATCTGCTCAGATTTTAAAAGACCGGTAGTGTATTCAAGCCTTAACATGTCACCAACTCAGAAAATTATAGCTTAAGAAAATCCAGAGTTTCCTACTGATAATTATGACTTGGTGGTGTAAATACAATCATTCCAACATGACTTGAATGCAACACATGAAAGAAAACTGCACTCGTCGAGTCATTTCATGAGGTCTTTAAATACTTGATTGTTTCTATTGTGAGCTTTGAGTCTGTTTAGGAATGTCCTTTAGCATTTGATTGTGTTTACCACATATTTCACGTCCCAGTGTCTGTAAAATGTATATTAGTGTATTTCAGTATATATACACCTATAGAGTATTTGTTTTGTTCTCCCCTAAAAATGTCTTTTTTGGTTTTCTACAATCATGCCACCAGTTGTAATAACTTCCTTTAAGGATATGAAAGTGTAGGTCTCAATGAGATTACATGACATAAAGCCCTACCGCAAATGCTCCTTTATCAGTGCCGGCTTATTTTGGACTTTTATTTGAGCCAAACAAAACCACATTGATATGCCCTGCTTTTCTATTGTGTCCTGCTCAGGGCAAAGTCTGCTGTATTCATTATTTGCCTTAAACCTATTTGTGAATGTCATGGGTTGAATTATTATACCATTGTACCAAGTGTTATGGATGTAGCATTTGATTCAAATTACATATCAAATATGTGTGTCTTTTAATTTTGTGCATATGCAGTTCGGTTCTCTTAATTTCGGAGAGTTAAAATGGGTTTTGAGGGTTCAGGATTACAGCATTTGAGTTATTTCTTGGCAGGTGAAATGAAAGTGTTTTATTGCCATGTCTAACCTGATTGATTATTATCTATGCAAAATCCATTTGACACTCAAAATCTATTTCATTTCCTCGATTATTCATGTTCAGCTTATAAATGCTGGTTTATATAATCCATTTCTTGAACACTAAAGAGATCCTCTTCTGCTATGCACCTGCTATTATTGTACTGTAAATCTCTGAGCCTGTAAATAATGGTAGCAATATTGCTTATTTTCTGTACGTTTCTGATCTTGTAAAATAAGGTTACTGTAGAATTTGTGTTCAGCACTGCATTACTTTTAGGGCCTAGTTGTGGAGTGACACTAATTATGACATTTCTTGTGATTACAAATCTGTTCAAATAAAATGTTTTATAGAATGTTGTGTATAAAATGTCTATAAACTGCTTTGTACATTTTCGAAAAATGCAGCACTCGAAGAAACGTTTGGTACACTTTATTTTAACATGTCCTTGTAACAGTGTAATTATACATTTAAAGGAATAGTTCACTTAAAAATGAAAATTCTGCCATCATTTATTCACCCTTAAGTTGTTTCAAACCTGTATGAATTTCTTTCTTCTGTGTCGGTGGCCAGACAGTTGATGGACCCCATTGACTTCTATAATATTTTTTTCCCGAATCAACTGTCTTAATAGTTAATATTAAAGGGATAGTTCACCCAAAAATGATAACTCTGTCAGTAATGACTCTCCCTCATGTTGTTCCAACCCCGTAAGACTTTCGTTCATCTTCGGAACACAAATTAAGATATTTTTGATTAAATCTGAGAGCTGGATCACTCCACCATAGGCTTCTAAGGGATTGAAACTGGCCGACCCAAAAGTTAAAGACATCGTTAAAATAGTCCGAGTGACTACAGTGACTCAACCTTAAGTTTATCAAGCAATGAGAATACTTTTTGTGCGTAAAAAACAAACAACTTTTTTTTTTTTTTTAAGTTATCTGGCATTTAATAGTGTTCTCAAAATGTTAGCACAAAAACATTGGTAGCACATTAGAATACGGTTCCTTCGTTAATGAATAACTACACAAGAACCAACGAGTAACACAATATTAACAATCTCTAGTAACTATTATTAACTAACAAGAAACTCTGATTAACGAACTAGTAAGTAATATAGCACACAGATGAAAGTGGTAGTTCACTATTAACTAATCAATAACTTCTTCTTTTTTTAATGCTTCCCAGAGAACTACTGAAAATTTTCATAATTCATGCAAAACTAATCAATAACCAATGCAGGACAAATGACTATAGCTCTACATTAACATTTGAACTGCTACTGTAAACGAATACACAAGGTTGTTTACATTATCAATATGTAATAGCATAGCAGACTTATGATTTGGGAAAGCTGTTAATAATTGGCCTATTCTGTCTATTTATCAACTGAATCATTTTAAAGAAATGGATTTTTAAATGCAGTTGTCGGGACCTTACTTGTCCTGTGGCCAATTTTCTGGCATTCCTCTGGACTGGCATTGAATCACTCGAGTCACGGTGAGTACTGGAACATATTGAGTCCTCAGCCACCCAAATACCATACAGTGATTTTATTATTTAACCTACCTTCCAAAAAATATGTTTTTATGTATGTCTCCTAGCTCATATATATATATGTGTGTGTGTGTGTGTGCATATCTTGTGAGTGATTAGAATATTCTACACTTTATTGGCTTTTCATTAGTAACTACTGTAAGAATCATGGTAACAAACTAGTAATGACTCAAGTGTTACTACACACTTCTATGGGAATTAGTAATTATTTGGATCCGTATTCTAAAGTGAAGATTATGGGAACTAACTAGCAATGACTCAAGTGTTACTACATACTTCTAAAGACATTTTCTAAAAGTATACTATTTAAAATCTCAAACGCTTGAAATGACTTTTGTGTTTGGTTGCACAAATCAGGACTAGATCATGTAGTAACACTTGAGTAGTTTGTTACCATGATTCTTACCATGATAGTTACTAAAAAGCCAATAAAGCCAATAAAGTGTAGAATATTCTAATCACTCACAAGACATGCACACACACACACACACACACACAGCTGTGTTTTTGTGATATATGAGGACATTCCATAGGCGTAATGACTTTTATACTGGACAAACTGTATATTCTATCCCCCTACACTGCCCCTATCCCTAAACCTACCCATCACAGGAGACATGCTGCATTTTTACA